TGTTCACGGGCAGGACAGCATGCCAAGTGCACCCCCTCCAACAGAAAGTGGTCCACCTGGACCGGCTTCACCTCCTGATGGCCCACCTGGACCGTCTTCACCTCCTAATGGCCCACCTGTTCCCGATTCAACAGATAGTGCGGATAGTTCGTCTGTTACTGCTGACAGTGCCCCGAGTCCTACAACAGAAAATGGACCACCTGGACCACCGGGACCGGCCCGTTTGTCAGACAGCCCACAAGGTCCAACTCCTACAGCAGAAAATGGCCCGCCTGGACCGCCGGGATCGACTCCTCAATCAGACAACGGCCCACCGGCCCGTCCATCTCCTACAGAAGACAGTGGCCCACCTGGACCACAGGGTCAGGGTCCTGAATCAGACAATGGTCCACCTGGAGCACCGAGTCCTACATCAGATGACGGTCCAGCTAGACCGCCCCGTTTTACAGATGATTCATCTGGCCCAACTCCTACACGTCCACCACGGCGTCCTCGTACTCGCACTCGTACTCGTACTCGTAGACCATTTCCTACAGATAATGGACCATCCGGTCCGGCCACTACAGAAGAAAGTGGCCCACCCGGTCCACCTGGTCCCCCGGGTTCAAGTCCCCCGGAAGAAAGTGGCCCACCTGGACCTCCGTCACGTCGCGGTCTACTTGTTAGAAATTAACGTTCAAGATTTCATCGTTCACGGTATTGACATGTGTCGAATAAACTTCTTTTACCGTTTTTATTTTTATTTTTTTTATTTATTTTTCATTTTAGATTTAATAAATTGTATGTAGTCTAACTTTATATCCTAGATTTTCTTGAATAATATTTAAATAAAGTTTGTATCACGCATTTAATTACGTTAATAAGTTGCATAAACGATTTATATAGACCTCAAACGCGTCTAAATCAGGATACCAATATAATTGTTTGAGACTGTACCATAGTACTATGTGCAACAACTTATACATAACCAGAAGTGAAGTTCTTAAGCTCTGTTATGTTGAAAAAATCTTTACTCGTGATTAGTACTGAAAACATTGCATAAAAATTAAATTTTCACGCCACAAAGTAAAAAAGACATGCAAATCTTGATATTCCATATATAAATATGCCAAGTTCTTATTAGATTTGTTAATAATCGTTATTCATAACAGAACACGAATTCTTACTGAATTTGACAAAGAAAATCGTAAATCATTTAAAATTGCTTTGGTATAAATAAAAATATATTAGTTAAACTTTTATATTTATTATATAAAGCTACATGCTATTCTATTTATCTGTGTTAAATAAAAATTAAATTTTTTTAAGCCCTTGTAGCTTAAAATTTTTTGATTTACAATAATTAAAGTAATTTCATAACGCTAATAAAAATCAGTATAAATCATTGGTAAATATATATATAGAATTTTATTGAATTCCATTTACCGTATTTCCCGGGGCATTTCCCCAGCTTTACTTATTTTGTGCAGGTAATACTCACGCCTAAAAAGGGGTTGTCTACCCACGTAACTTTTTTGTGCGAAATTTTGTTTACACGGGGATCAGCCCGAAGAAGTAAAAAAATAAAGAAAACGCAAAAAGACGAAAAACGGCACTAATTAAAAACGTTGGGATGGCAATTTTACCTATACCTTTCTTCTTATATCAAAACCAAACTAACCCTAATCCTAACCTTAATTTTAATACTTTAACCCGATTAAAACGTCAAAATCACGTGGGTACATGGCTTTCGCCATCCCGTTATTTGGCACAATCATCGTAAACCACCGGACAACACCGTTATTAAATGCTACGCAACCAATAACTTGTTTATCTG